ACCTAGCAGCCTCCCCATATAGCAATTAAACAATGCAAAGTCGGGTAATAGACGAGCCACCGACAACTCTCCGATATAACCTCAGAGAAAGAGACATAAAACCCTTTTCCAAAATTTTAATTAGAGAGGGAACTTTTAGTGAATAAATGGAAAACTCTGTAGCTCTCCTGTCTTCCTTTTGAAGGTCTCCTCAGTGAGCCTTCTTCTTATCTTCTCATTATTATTATAATTTTGATAATTTATTCAAAATATTGATTTCGTTAAGCGAGGGAACCATTTTTGCTTAAAATATCAGTAAAAAGATTATTATTTCAAATTTCCAAAATTATTATTTCATAATTTTCCGAGTGAAAAAAGACTCTCTTCCTTTCTCAGCACCCTGACCTCAAGGGTTCCTGATCATCCAAAGAGGCACACAAAATTTCCCCCAAAGGACACGGATCTCACCAGTGGCGTGGCGTGCTTTGCGATATATCGATTGTTATGCCATTTAAACCTATGGAAAAGGATCGATAAACAGGGTGTTCGCAGCGAACACCTTAATGATCGATTCTTCACCATACGTTTAAATGGATTAACAATCGATATACCGCAATTCACGCCACGCCACTGGATCTCACTGTGCGCCACGAAGAGTCGAGCTGATCTTGGCTTACTTCGCCCGGCGCACTCAAAAAGCTTTCGGACGGTTGCCTGCCCTTCCTGCCTCACTTTGCGCGGCCTTATAATTCACACCCCTCCACGCGTTTCTCCTTAATTCTGCTCGTATGAACTTGCGACTTGCGGCCGGAGCGCAGGAATTTCTTCCATGCCCTCCAACGCTCCGTCCAGACGCATTCTAACGCACTGCGCCACTGCAACCTACCTTGTCATTGCTCAGCGCTGGCTAATAACTAATGTCATAGTATTATCTCTGATTCTTATCGAGGACACCTCAAGTGTGTCGCACTTAGTGCGATGGAAAAAACGGGATTAAAAAGGTGCCCACGGGATTAACGCTTCTGAAATGCATGGACGCATGTGTATGAAAAAAATGTGCAGCATGGTTGAGGTGCAAATATGAAAGCCGATCTTTCATTCCGCACAACATTTTGAATATACATAATACGTAAATTTGGTCGTTTTCGGGTGTCTCAAAGTTTTTTTTTAGTTATTGGATCTTTAAGGGTTGTAAAAGAGAGACTATCATCTCAACTGCGCAGCCAAATTGTAGAGTCACATTTAGGGGTAGTTAGGTATCACCCTTGAAAAATACCCTCGAATGACATGACTGAATGCGTGTTTGTAAGGACTGTGGTTCTTTTCTTTCACTTTGATCTCGTTGAACTATGATCTGCACATTTTTAGTAGTTTACAGAAGTAAATCATTATTATGAGACCTTATAGGCGGCAACGATACTTTATACTTACATGGAGAAAATGACTTCATCCACGTCCTACGAGAGGCAACATACCTAGGACGGTCACGTGTGGCGACAATTTCTGTGGCAGCAGTACGTGTGGCAGTCTATATCGGATGAATTTCATCATTTTCAAAAAAGTAATTTAAAAAATGGTCTTATCAATACATCAAGTACATTGTATACTTATCTGAAGAAGGTCGATTAGTACCAAGATTAAAAAATCAAAATTTCCCTGAGGTAATCAATGGACACTGTTGTGAAAGCATTTTTCATTTCCGGGCGTTTCATTGAAACAGCTATTTATATTTCCATTGCTTTACATAATTGACCTCTTCTATCTCAAAATTACCGCACAAAACTGTTCAAAAACGTGTTTGAAGCATTGAGTACGTGTGCTCAACATCCAACCCTAGAAGAATTAGCCGTTTTTCTTCATGTCAGAGCAAATTGGATTTCCCGGGGAAATTATGTGTTGCAACATGATTACCTTGCACTTTTTTCTACACGACGGTTTCACTTTCCGATGACGATATAATAAGCAAGCGACTCGTTAGTCAAATTTACCCTGAATAAACGTTGACGGTATTAGAGCTATTACACACATCACCTTGCGTCACCTCCGATGAAATTCGTCACATGAAGTGAGCGCGTGTATTTCGGATGTTCCTATTGTCCACGTTCTTCGGACGGGGGGAGGGGCTGCTACTTCACCAACCAAAATCTGTTATCTGATGGATATTCGGAACACGCAGACCTGAGCAGCACGAGCGTGCAGAAAATAGTGATAAGGATGAAAACTTCAGCACATTGCGTATATAATAAACCACGAAAGAGACCTAAAATTACATAAAAGACCTCTTACATAAAATTCGTCCATTTCAGAACTTATTATTTAGTGACCGATATTTTCTTGGCCTCTCTCACCCTAAAATTTTGAGTAGTGTTTTTATCATAATTATCAACGTTTTCTGGAATCTTTAAGTTATGAGCAATAATTTTAATATTTTGCTAACTTCGAATTACTTCACTACTTTCAATTCAATGCATATTTTGTGCATGTATCGGGCATGCACAAGAAATTATAAAAACTCGCACAGTTCTTTTCAAAGGCGAGGCGTGAATAATCGATGTTCGATGCGAAAACCCTGTTTATCGATCCTTTCCCACAGCTTTAAACGACAGAGCAATCGATATATCGCAAATCACGCGACGCCACTGGTTCTTTTTAAATCCAATATTAAACTGCGACAAAAATGTCTTACTGTGCCCCTGGAAAGCATGAAATCTATCATTTTCAGACATAAAAAATGTGAGTATTCGATGGATTTTATAGTTGATTTCGGGTCATGCCTTGGTAAAATTATTATTCTAAAACTTGCCGAAATCGTATCCGGGAACATTTACCGCTAATTTTAGGACAAAAATATAATTTTTTGCACATAAGTTTTGTCCTGACCTGAATCGATTTCCCCAGGAGTTAAAAGAAGATGCGAATTACGATACTGAATAATGGGCTATTCATTTTTGAATCATCGTCAATCCAGAAAGACCAGTCTTGTAGAAGTATCTTTCTCTCCTCTGATCCTCCGATAATGGCCAATTGCGAACATTATCAGACGGAAACGCAATTTAACACAACCGTGAATATGTTACGAGAAGAACTGAGGACAGCCGTTCGCTTTATTTATGAATTAAAACGAAGACAGTCTGAATGAAACTCTCGACCTAATCGGATGTATTTCGATACGAGAATCGTGAATTATGAATGATCTCGAGAGCTCACAATAGAATTAGGAGTCACATAAGCTGCGTTTAATCTGGGCTAAAGATTCCCATGAATTAAATATTAAACCGGGCGTGAGTCGGAGAGAGTGCTGCTATTGCCGAATTCAACCAAGAATTCACTTTTATCTTATTTATGTACTATGATAAGTGTCCCTCAACTAAGCGTGACAACAAGGGTAAGCGCCTGACTTATATTGAGTGGTCGTTTAAAAAGGCTTTGAGGCTAATTAGATTGTGCGCATGATTTTGAGGAGAGATTTCGATCTTCGCCAGAGATATGCGTCATTGTGAATGCTCTCTCATTGCATAGACCGTTTTGCAAATAGTGAGACTCTCATTGCTCTTATATCCCTGACAAGATAGTGAATTTTTGATACAACATTAATAAAAACCTCGGTCTTAATGGCTTAACTCGGAGATGTTTCAATACTAATGTTGCATTGATTTTTTAAAACACCTCAGCTGAATTTTCTCCACCTAAATTTTATTTCATAGTGCGTTTCTACTACAAAATTCCCATGAAATTTAAAAAAGAAATATTTCCTTAGCTTCGCTTTCATTGTCACGACGAAAAAAAAACCTGAATTTCGAAATTGCTCGCATTGCAAGCGCGAGCAAACGAATGACAATTTAAAGCCTACATGAAAATGGTTGTGCTGCATGATTGTTGTCCAAATTTCAGTGAATTTCGTACCTACTACAAAATTATTCCTTGACATTTTCAAAGGAATTCGCACAGACGTTCTCTTGTAAAAAATTAAATTTCCCACTTAAATTTGACAACAGCTGATGTGGCTTGGCTCCTTTCTTCTAAAGACGGTCCAAGTTAGAGTTGTACAAAGACAGTACAGTTTTCTATCATTTTCGGCACATCTAGTCAACAGAGGACGCAAGACTCGCGCCATTAGTGACAATAGACCTGACAAATCAGCGTCTTCGCCCAGCCATCAGCTGTCTCGGCTAAACTGATAGAAGCGTAATTTCTGGTTTGCGCGACCGTCTGAAGAACAGTTATCACCGTTAAAACGAAAGGTAGAAGCGCCTCCACGCCTCTGTTTTTCTGGGTTCTGCAAACAAGGCCTCAGAGTTGTTCGTTTGGAAAGTTACATGTGTAATTTTGCACAGAGATAAACTGGTGATGTCTTTGACCATACGCGCACAGATGCTATTTACTTAGAGATTTTTTTTTTTGCGAATTGGTGGGTTTCTCTCTAGTTGCAGGTGTTATCGTCATTCACCTGTTGTCATGTCTTATTGAATAAAAACGTCTTTGATTTTTGTTACTGCGCGGATGTTGAGCCATGGTGTTTGGTTCCATTGCACTCATACATGCCATCAACTATATCGACGGTAAAATCCTTTGACCACGTATCTCAATAGCGGTGTTACAAAATTTCCACTGTCATTTCATTTTTATGAGGGAGAAAAAATCCAAGTCATTTTTGAATTTTTAACAACATTTTCTTCGCAAAGAGAAGATAAACCAAGGAAGTTTTAAAAAAAAATGTTATTTCCCTATTCAGTAGTTTTCTATTTTAAAAATAAGCATGACCGGAAGTCTGCAACGTCTCAAACCGAGATATGTACCTAGTTTGGATGTTTCACCGTCGATATACAATAACAAGATTCGTCTATCCTTCAATGATTTTGTATTAATTTTATTTACTTTTTAGACCAATTCTAACACAATCGCACTAGATTCATTAGGTTTTTAGGCGTTTCATTAATTTTTGTGTACCTTACGTTTTTCTTTTCTGTGTTTTTCTAAGTTATATCATTGAAACTACGTCTTTGCTCCTTTTTGTTTTTCAGATCCTGCGCCGAAGAGCAGCGTTTATGTGAATTCACCGGGGTGAGTTTTCTGATTTTTAATACAATTATGAGCTTGATGTAATTATTCAAAATATATTTGATGCTAAACAAAGCATCCAATATGTTTTTGAACATTTGGTTATCCTATTCCATTTGTTGAGGATTGTGGCTGCTTCCCCCTCACCAATAAATCCGTTATCAACTAAATTGCATCAGCGACAGGTGTAAACTTGTTCTTTCAGGGACTCAACAAATCCTTATGGATAATTATAAGGGAGCAACAGTCATTACCCTAATTTCGGCTGTTGCGACCTACCTACATGGTGGATGATGAGCTTCGGGTGACGTCGCGTCGTCAGCCAAACAAGTTTCCCAAACCTCGGCCATTTTCGGCTTGTTTGCGAAACGAAACTGCCCACACGTTGTTCAACATCAACCATGCAGGTAAGTCAACAGTAGCATGCTGAAGTCCCAAAAGTAAAAGCTTCCACAATGGCCAAGACATCAGTGGAGGGTCTCTTGTCTATTCCTCCTCCACTCCTTGTAGCCAACCTTTCACAAGACGTCCACACCGTCACAAATTCATTGATACATACATACACACATAAAGCCGCTTTTATAGCGCAGTCTCGCGCTCTGCGACGCCCGATCACCATTGCCCTTTATCCTCCCAGAGACCATTAGGCAATGGACCACTACACAAGGTATGAATTTAAGCAATCTGATACATGTTTCTTTACCAGAATTTCACGTAAAACACGATTCGTGCAACGAAAATTACTGAAACTAACTCCTAACGAAGATGTTAACGTTTTTATTCCACATTGGTTACGAGGAATTTGCACTGCCCGCTTACAAGAAACTCAAAGCTCTACTTGAGTCAAATCGCGCACTACAACGGTTTCAGCAAGCTTCTCAATCGAGCAATGTTCATTTCCCATCATGTGTTGTTCAAACCACAAGAAATTTGCTGTAGCTGAGCCAAACCGTCAAGATTGAGGTTTTCAGATTTTCATATCGCAGAGACTATCATGATAAGCGTTTAGGGCGCGATGTGAATCACGTAGAGCATTGAGTTTTCATGAGCGGGTGGTTTGAATTCACGCATCAAGAATCATTAAATGTCTTCGTGAGGAGTTGATTTCGGTAAGTTTTGCTGTGCGCATCGCATTTTACGTGAAATTTTGGTTAAGAAACATGTATCATAATGCTGAAATTCGTACCTTGTCTAGTGGTCCATTGGCACCATCTGATCTGCTCCAGCTCCACCCCTTGTCGCCAACCTTTCACAGGACGTCCACGCCGTCGCCTTCCGGGAGGACTAATTCATTAATACCGATCTAAATATGAGAATGATCGAAGTTGACGTCAGTATAGATACGCCTCGGTGACGCGACACGTGAGACATCTCCGTCCATTCATTGCGTGGAGCCATGGAGTAAATCGACCCGGCACGGAACTAAGTAGGCAAATGTATGCGGATTCTCCTCCGGGAGGGTGAGAGAATCGTCGGACGTCGCCAGGAAGAAGTGACAAGGGGCATCCGTTCGCGGTCGGTAGTTACCAATTACCTGTGATTCCGACTGCCTATGCAGAATGTCCTCCGGTTTAATTGGATCCGCTCCTAATTGCATTCCTCGAGTCAACAAAGGCATCCCAACTTTGGGATTGACAAAGTTCCTTTGTTTTGTTTCGAGTGCAGCGCCGGCCGGGCATTGAGTCATAAGTTTATGTAAGTCCTTCTGCCGGAGGCCGGCGACAATAATATAAAAGTGAAAGCATTATTAGAATAATAGGACCATGTGTCGGCCGCGTCGTCTTCGTCTCGGCGACGCGTCAACAATGAGCGTATTACAGCATCCCCGGCCATTCTTCGATGAGATTGCCCGCTGTTTTCCGAGCGGGCACCATTACGCGCGCTTCACGCACCTCCGTCCAAATTGCCACCCGCGTTGCCAAACACACACTCATGTCGAAGTGGCATCATAGTTCACATTATGTACTTTTTAATTGTGTAGTACATTATGTAATCAATATGAAACTTGCCAAGAGGTTTAATTTGATCGCTCTGGATGATTTGTTTCCGAAAGGCATTCGATTATTATTCGGCATGAATTTGAATAGACTAATTTAATTAGTTGCTCGAAGTTTTTATGCGCTCAGCCGTCGGGTAGCGCTTTTTGATTTCAACCTGCGTCTAGAATCCTAGTACACCAGTGGCTATGTGCTTCTCTGATACGAACGTATTATAGCTTACCCGCTATATTTACCTTTTCCAAGTCACTCCGATAGGTTAATTCCATGTTCAATCCCGCCAGTTTCTATTCCGATCTTAGCCATAGCATACCTTGGCTTAAGACCATTAGAATCATTGACTGACCTTGTATAACAGGGAATCGAACCCAAGACTTTCTGATTGTAGAACCAGCGCTCGCCAAGGAACAATACCGCATATTCGCAAACTGTCAATTTTGCAGGACGAAGAGACAACTTTGGCATTTTTGTAATTTTGAGGTTAGATTTACAATTTTTTCATACATTACAGCACTTCCCTACATAATTTGAAAAAAAAACTGACAACATCAACTTGCATATTTTACTCTATAGAATGCGGCAAAATTGCCACCTCATTTTTGCCAAAATTGTCATTTCAGAGGTATTGTTCCTCCATCCCTTACCGGCCCCATTTTATTCGTGCAATATACGGCATTTTGATGTCTTGTTACGCTGCAATAAATTGCAGCAATCATGCAGCTAATGAAGCACTGCCCGATTGAGCTATTATTCACCGGCTGGTCTTCATACCTAACACCGATCAAAACCCCGCAAATTGAAAATCAGGGATCAATCTTTGCTCTCGCTTATTCACAAGAAAGCTCACGACGAGGGAGCCAGGCGGCGAAACTTTCTCACATCCGGAAAACCCCGGCCGGGGAAAATAGATTGAATTGTTTTAATTAGCCGATCCGCGCCGAGGGACACGTGTTCACGTGGTCAATAAGCGATAAAGCGTGGGTGGAGGCCGAGCGGCGGGGGAGGAAATGAAAGTTGGAAAGGGAACACTGCACCCCTCTCTCCCGGGCCGCGGCCGACGGCGAAACTTTACGGCTGTGCAGCAGAGCGATGCCCGGTGCTTGGTGCTCGGTGCCCGGTGCGCCACATCGGCCGGGAATAACCGCGGGCGCATGCGCAGACGCCAATAAGTGTCAAATTGTAGCATGTGCCATGGGGTGAAAGTTGGATGGATGTTGCGGCTCCGGAAAAAGTTGCCAGATCGTGTGAGACCCCCTTTCGAATAAATGGAAAATATTTTATATTCTCAGCGTAATCTGGCAACAATGGGCTCCAGGCTCCGAAGAAGCTCCTAATCTCCGCGAGGTCGCAACGGGAGTTGCGCGATTTTGCCGCCAATGGCTAATCGGCCTTCGGTCTTCGTCCGACTGACCAGAAATCCGATCGGCCGATCTCGCACATTCGCGGCCCCTCAGACCACTTCCCTAGTTCCGCCTATCATGCCTCTCTCCCGGCCCCGCGCCCTTCACCCTGGCTTCCTCGTCATGCCGCCGGTACTGACCTGGTCACTCCGCGCATTCTTCCCGGAAAGTGAAAGGCTCGTAAGTGCTCCGCGAAATTTATTCGACCGCTTCAATGGCAGCGCTCACTTCACGGTTCGGTTTGGATTTGAGAATCTACTCGACTTTTGAAAGACAAAGAAGCTGCGAGCAGCCCATGATGCATACAATAATAGAAAGAGAATGGAGTAAGATAGAATGTGGGCGACTACACTAAGATACGAAGTTATGAACCCGAGGCATTTTGGCCAACCACTCGGCCAATAGCTAACGTCACACGATCAAACTGTGTCATCAATATATCAAAGTCTAGTGCTGTGATTGGTCCAAGTCATCGCAGTAGCCAATCACAACATCCGACCTTGATATTTTGATAGCTAGGTTTGATCGCATGATAGTAGCTATTTTCAATCAGTCAGAATACGAAAAAAATTATAACACAAGTCGATGAAAACCTGTTCGACAGAAAATAAGAACGAAAAGCTTTCTGTTCAATGATCGGAATACGAAATTTATAATAGTTCAAATATTCGTGTCGGTGAATCTCGAAGAAAACTTAAAGTATGTAGGCAGGTTTATTATGATTTTGCGTATTTTTTTCTGTTTAAAATTGTCAGTTTCCTCCGGGAAGGAACATTCCTCCATTCTAAGGATGCAAAATTATTGAAGTTGAGGTCATATGGATCTCTGAAGTTTTCGGATCACGCATCCGAGAACTTGAGGTCAAGCTGCCGAAGTTTTGGTCAGACTTCTGAAGTTATTCCGTAAGTACCGGAGTACTTCATCAGATGTATGATCTGAACCCTTCGGTATAGACTAAAGTACTTCAGATAGTTGGCCCGAACTTCGACAGCTGGACTTCAAGCTTTCGGATGCGTGATCAGAAAACTTCAGAGATCTATTATAACCTCAACCTCGGGTCCCATACACTTTTTTTCTCCACGTAACGAACATCTCGTGTAGCAAGCAGCAGATCTTTCTCCTCGTGTTTACATATGAAAAACGGCAAAATACCACAACATCGAAAATAGACCTACGACTCCGGGGGTCTAAACAGGGCCCGAGGAAAAAATAACCGCAAGGAAGGAGGTCTCCATGACTGCGTACGAATCCGAATCGAGTCGCGTTGCGCATTGTTGGTACAGACGTGCGGATTGTTTGGAGAAAAGCGAGAAGTGATAGTGAAAGCAAGGCGATTGTAAAGAAGATCAGATCGGATGAGATAAAAGGAGTAAAAACGGAGGATAATGGTGGCGTGGAGCGAGTAATGATTCGCGGCGGACGCGCGGCATGGCGTCGCGCCGAGCGCGGTGGGTGACGGTCGGCGTCGTTGACGTCGTCGCGACGAAGCTGGAGGACGCGGACGTCGAGCGACGCGGATAAAGAGTTAAACGCAACGATGAACGAGGACAGAGACGGACCAAATCGGCCCGGCCCCCGGCTCATCCTCCCCGTTCCGTTTGGGAGC